GAATAACATCTTGTAGGATGAGGAAGAGCCAGTTGTGGTGTGGGGAAGTTCGTGAGGCAGTAGGTTTAAAATGAAAGGGGGTAAGGCAGCCGGATTGATGGGAATAAAGATAGAAATGTTAAAAGCAGGTGGGGATATAGTTTTGGAGTGGGTTGTGCAATTGTTTATAAATGTATGGAAGGGGGTAAGGTACCTAGGATTGGCAGAGAGCATGCATATTCCTTTTATAAAGGCAAAGGGGATAAAAGAGAGTGCAAAAATTATAGGGGATAAGTCTGTTGGTGTACCCGGTAAAGTGTATGGTAGAGTTATAATTGAAAGAATTAAGAGTAAGACGGAGAATAGGATAGCAGAAGAACAAGGAGGCTTTAGGAAAGGTAGGGGGTGTGTGGACCAGGTGTTTACAGTGAAAAATATAAAATGAACAGTATTTAGATAAGGCTAAAGAGGTCTTTGTGGCATTTATGGATTTGGAAAAGGCGTATGAAGGGTGGATAGGGGGCAATGTGGCAGATGTTTTCAAGTGTATGGTGTAGGAGGGAGGTTACTGAAAGCAGTGAAGATTTTTTACGAGGATAGTGAGGCTCAAGTTAGAGTATGTAGGAAAGAGGGAAATTTTTTCCCAGTAAAAGTAGGCCTTAACAAGGATGTGTGATGTCACCGTGGGTTTTTTAATATATTTATAGATGGGGGTTTTAAGAGAAGTAAATGCGAGGGTCTTGGGGAAAAGGCGTGGAGTTAAAAGATAAAGAATCACACACAAAGTGGGAGTTGTCACAGCTGCTCTTGCTGATGACACTGTGCTTTTGGGGGATTCTGAAGAAAGTTGGAAAGATGGGGGGATAAATTTGGGGGGTGTGAAAAAGAAAAAAATTTAAAGGTAAATACGGGAAAAGTAAGGTTATGGGATAACAAAAAGGGATTGGTGATGAAAGATTGAATATCAGAGGGGGGAGAGAGTAGGGAGGAGGTAAAACTATTCAATATTTGGGAGTGGAGGTCAGGGGAGGGTTATGAAAGATGGGGTGAATCATAGAATTGATGAGGGAAAAAAGTGGTGGTGCCTTGATTTTGGGGGGAAAAAAAGAACTTTGCCTTGGGGGCCCAAAGAGGGAATGTATGAGGTAAGTTTTACCAACGCTCTTATAGGGGTGAAGGGGGTGATAATTTTTGCAGCGAGGAGAAGGCGGGGAGCAGTGGGTGTCATGTCTGGGGGCAATGTGTGGTTTGGAATATAATCAAGAATTCGTATTTTGGGAAGTTAGGAGGGGGTGGGGGTTTACCAAAACTGTTGTCCAGAGGGCTGAGGAAGGTTGTTGAGTGGTTCGGACAGTAGAGAGAATGGGGCGAAAAAAAGATTCAAGATGAAGTCTGTAGTGGAAAAAAGGGGGGTAGGGGGCGCCTAGGAAAGGGTTGGAAAAGGGGGGGAAAGGAGGTTTTTGTGCGAGGGCTTGGATTCCAGAGCATGCTTGACGTGTTTATAGGAGTGAAAGAGACAAATGGGTTTTTTTTACTTTAGTGCTGTTGGAGTGTGAGCAAAGTAACATTTATGAAGGGATTCAGGGAAACCGGCAGGCCGGACTTGAGTCCTGGAGATGGGAAGTACAGTGCCTGCACTCTGAAGGAGGGGTGTTAATGTTGCAGTTTAAAAACTGTAGTGTAAAGCACCCTTCTGGCAAGACAGTGATGGAGTGAATGATGGTGAAAGTTTTTCTTTTTCGGGCCACCCTGCCTTGGTGGGAATCGGCCGGTGTGATAAAAAAAAAAAAAAAAAAAAAAACATACAAACTTCTGTTGTGCACTCTAACACTTCATTCTCAAATCTACCCAATTTCCTCTCAACCAGCTCCTCATTACCTGTATTCTAGCTAGCATATCTTTCTCCTAATAGTCGCTCAAATCTTGCCCTATCTCCTTTAATTTATAAACTTTCACTTCTCTATTACCCACCAATGACTTTCTCCTTGTGCTCCATCCTCTTACTCTCACTCTAGCTACAGCTAAATAATGATCTGATATATCTGTTGTAGCTCTAAAAAATTTGCAGTCCAGAAGCGTACCCGTCAACTTTTCATCTACTAATACATAATCCAACATGCTGCTATCATCACGCCCTATATCGAAACTAGTATACTTATTTATCCTCTTTTTCTTAAAATAAGTATTAGCTATTACCAAACCCCTTTCTATACATAGCTCAATTAGAGGTTCCTCACTATAATTTACCCTTGGCACTCCAGACTTACATGTTACGCCCTCTACAGCAGTTCTCCCACTATTTTCCCACCTGGTTCAAAAACACTCACTTAACATTTCCCAAAATCTCTCTCTCTTTTCTCTCTTCTCTAAGAACAGAAACACTTACTATTACCCATTTCTCACATCCCACCTTTATTTAATTTCACGTAATTCTTGATTTTATACACTGCTTCTTCCTTAGTTCTGATTTTCAGAGATACAGCTGATCTAATCCCATTAGCATCTTCCCAATGAAATTCTTTTACTTCCTTTAGATTCAGTTCGCTTGGAGCTAGGACATCGATCTTGTTTCATTCATAATATTTATAATCAGTTCTTTCTTCGCGTCCATAGAACACGAACGCACATTCAAACCAACCTTCAGTTTTTTCTCCTTCGTCATTTTAGTAATTTATGCAGGAGAAGGGATTGTTAGCCTCTTGCTCCCAGCATTTTAGTCGCCTTTTACAACATGCATGACTTGTGGAGGACGAATGCTTATCCACTTTACCATGGAGATGAAAGGAAACACTATAAAAACAAGAACTATTGAGAGTGGAAGAAAACTCAGATGAGTGTGTACACATACATGTACATTTACAACTGAATGTGTAGTATATACTAGATGTAAGTACAAATAGCAAGGTGCAACTATCGTCTTGCATGTTGATGAGACAGAAAACAGACACCAGCAATGCTACCATTCTGTAAAACAATTGCACGTTTCTTTTTCACTAATTTGTCAGGACGGTAGTACCTCCCTGGGTGGTTGCTGTCTACCAACCTTCTACCAGGTCGCTATTTTTTGGGGGGCACAAGACGTAACTGAAAACTAACCCTAGAATTTTCTTCGAAATCGGCTCACTGGATTCATCATGTCCAAAATCTGTTTTCTGTTAATTTTTTTTATGAATATTAATAAAACCATTTTGAAGTTATATTTAAAGTAATATAATTAAAAAAATCAAGTGGTGCTGGGATTGGGTGATTACTTACGAGCGAAAAGCACACAGCATAAGATTTTTTTTACCACATAATAAATCCCTGATAAGTAATGTCGCAGGATAGTGAATTTGTACAAAGCGACTCCACGTAAAGTGAGGGCAAAAAAAAACTTGATAAAGCTTAACCATGGGTGAAATGTGGCAGTAATTGCTTCCCTGCTACTGGTCTCTTTATTTCTTGGAAAATAATTGCTAATCATAATTAATGTTGTATTAATATATTTCTATTGTGTGTAAAATGCCTGTAACTTACATTTTTTAAGTTACTTTTCCATGCAGTGAGGTGTAATGATAAGCAGCTTGATCAGCATACCGTACCGTATAAGAATTCTTCCCTGCAAAAATAAAATATCTTAATTCAATTAATCTATTATATGAATGGTACACAGTACCGACAAGAAGATGATTTAAACACCTGCGCAACACCTGGGTATCTATTTTGTATGGCGAAACGTCCACAAAATATACTTAGATATTGTGCATGTGTCCTATTCGTTAGTTAATGTATTTTACTGAAATTTATTGTATATAGCATTCTGCATTTTTTGTTTCAGTGAATTAGAACCTGATGTACTAGGAATCCAGACTTTTGAATCTTGTAAGAACATTTATGACTTAAAAATCTGTCCCATGAATAAGCAACATTGGATTTGTGGGTTCTCTTCTGCCCTCTTGCCACACATAAGACGAAAACTATTTATTTAAATTATATTAACCCATTTTTCACAAATATATGTATCGGTAAACAGGATTCAGATAATTCTAATATACTGGGAAAATTCTTGCGATACTGGAACTTCCTGATTTTTTTTTTTTTTTTTTTTTTGTCATCGCAAAGCAGAATTTTTTTTTTTTTTTGCTAGAATTTTGGTAGTAGTATAATGTCATCAAAATTTTGGAATGATATTATTAATTTTAACTTTGTTATGAGTCTATCAGATTTTCTTCTCGAAAGAGATAGTGTCACTGTGAGGCTTCTGTCAACCTAAGTAGAGATCTAAATGCAAGAACTATTGGTGCACTTCTCTGTGAGTGATGGTCTTATTCCTTATCTTCTGCCATCCACATATAATTCTTGAGGTCCTGCAAATTTCCTGTCCCAATTCTTCAGCAGAGGAAATTAACACAGGTTCCTATTACAAATTCAGGTTAAAAACCCCCAGTTTGGCTCGGAAGACGCCGAATTATAGCAGAATTTCCCACAACAACCAGTGTTCACAAATTACAAATGGCATCCCCCTTTTTTCGTTTTCCACACTATCCCAGTTCTTCAGCAGGAACATGTCAGCAATTTCTAAATCATGGATTGAGGCTGATATACACCAGTTGACCTTCGAGAATGCCTGATGACATTGCACAATTCAGTCCAGTGTTCACACATTAAATTCATTATGGCGTCCTCCCCGCGGGGTCACTCAGTGGCTGTTCTACCTCCTCCAGTCACTCGAAGTTTTTCGAAAAGGTCAAATCAGCATCACAGTTTATTACACAATTTGTATTATTCAAATTTACACATGCTAAATTTAGGAAAATTCAAAAATTTCCACAGTAATAGTGTTTTGTATATTGTGTATCTACTGTGAATAATATAGAAGACCAGAATATTAACTGTTTAATTTCTGTGAAGACATTAACAAATAAGCATGAAGCATCTAACAAATTAACTTTGGAGTCTTTTTGCTAAGGTACATTTTCCTAACTTTGGTATTCAACTTTTGACTGTCAATGCTGCATGTATAATGCTTTATATTTTCACAGCAAGAATTTAATAGATAGTGTAAAAGAAGCAATTTCATGGTCATATGATTTGTCACTGGATGAAAAGGCTCTCAGTGTTGAAGAATACAAATCACCAACACCAGAGGTGAGTGTATCTCTCTTCCCATACTGAACCTTAATGTGAGATTTAAGATAGTTTTTTTTTTTTAGTTTAATATGTTTATTATGCACCCCATACCCATCCTGTGGGTGGTAGTCAAAAGATTACAGAGGTACATAATTGGTCCAGGGACTGGACTCCAAAGTTTTGATAGCTGAGTAAGTTACAGAGGTAATGAACTCACAATTTACAAAGGTAATGAACTCCAGGTAGGTCTGGTCACAATCATGACAAGTTACAAAGGTATTTACAGATTACAGAGGTACGTAATGGGTCCAGGGACTGGGCCCCCAAAGTTTTGATAGCTGAACTAGGTACAAAGGTAATGAGCTCACAAGTTACAAAGGTAATAAATTCTGTAAGAATGGTTACTTACGTTTATACATGGCTACAATCATGAACAAATTATTGAGTAATGAGCAATTCACACTTCCACACCCGGTCACAACTGTAGTGAGTTATTGGTGCAAATATTGATTGTTGAGTCACACACACACACAACACACACACACACACACACACACACACACACACACAACACACACACACACACACACACACACACACACTGACACTGACACTGACACTGACACTCACACTCACACACACACATACACACACACACACACACACACACACACACACACACACACACACACACACACACACACACACACACACACACTGACACTCACACTCACACTCACACTCACACTCACACATAAAACACCACACACACACACACACACACACACACACACACACACACACACACACACACACACACACACACACACACACACACACACTGACACTCACACTCACACTCACACACACACACACACACACACACACACACACACACACACACACACACACACACACACACACACACACACACACACACACACACACACACACACACACACACACACAGTTTAGTTTAATATCTTTATTATGCACATTTAAGATGATTTGGTCAGATGATTGTTTTTATGTGGTCTGTGTTAGTTAATTATGTATGTGGTAAGCTCAGTATAGATTACGATGGATAGAGATGGCCCATCTCTGTCAAGCTGGTTGAAGTAGCTATATATGCGTAACAGAACTTGAATTGAGACTGATGTTTCGCCTGTGTAATATGTTTTTAGAAAGCCTGTTACTCAGGGGTAACGTTGTCTTAAACTTTTATTTTGCATTTGTATCTACTCAGCATTGGATTAGGTTTCTTTAATTGTTATAAATAAAACTGTTAACATAGACAGATGGCACGTGTGAGTAATTGTGAACAGTATTCAGTAGCAAGTTGAGGCATTTATATAATCTGAAATACCTAATTTGCTACATAATGTACTAAAAGCAATTAGGTGTATTTAGGTCGCTGCGTGATCCTATAAAGATAAAAGTATTCCATAACCCCAGTCCCCTGTGCCTCAGTGCACGAGTCTGGATTTGTGTTGAGTACGGCGTAAGATGATAATGCGGTTGAATATTAATTAGCGTTGAAGATCTGAAGTGAATCAAAGGCATCTTAAGGAAATTAATTTCAAGTTTCTTCAGTAATAATGGTAAATTAAAACATTATAATGTTCAAATATAATTCAGATCTTTCAAAGAAAAAAATCCTAAAATATACAAGAACATTAAGCTTGACGTCGCTCGGACGTTGCGCTATTAAATTATCAACTTGGAAAGGTTGACGCTAAATAGATACGACACTCAAAAATTATGGCATGAAAAACAGTATTTCCAGTTTCCAAAAAATCTAATTAGGACCTATTGAGGCTTAAATCATTCCAAAATTTTCTCCAAGAGTGACCACCTTTGAAGAAAGTAAGTACAGTAAATAAATAAGTTTTATGTTTGATTAACGTACATAACTTACAAATGTTTAAGAATGATCTGGAGAGCACACAGGTGTTAGAGGAACATCAGCTGATTTTGCCCAGGATAACCAAATAAAGTCATACACTGCTTTATTTTTTATTAGAAGAGACATTCATTAAATGTTTCACAGAAACCAAGTTGATTAATAAAATTCTCACATGATAACTTACTCAGCCAAACATAAGAGTTTCCTCTGAAGAAAACACATCACAACTGAAAGTTAAAAACTGACCAGAAGAAGCGTTTTCCAGTTATTGGACAGAATCCAGCAAAATTTTTGCCTACGGCAGCTTGGAAATCCCCCCTGAAACATCGCCTGGTTCAATATCACCGACTAAAGATTTGCCATTTCCCATTATCTATTTTGTAATCACAAAGCACAAATAGGTACGGGTCATATAGCGACTGGGGGTGGGTCGCATTCCTCTAGAGGCAAAGATAAGGCCCAATTTTGGAAAAAAGAGCTCCTCAACCAGCATCCCGGGGCTAACATGGTAAAAAGAAGAAACTAAAACTCGACAAGGAATGCAACATTCCCCCAATGAAAACAGGGACCCCCAAGTTACATTGAATAGCAAACACTAAATACGTGGGCCTAACGCTGTTACAACTGCCTCGCAGGCATACATAAGGCCATTCCAAAGGCCCACCCATGGCTGTCTTAAAGATCGGCAAATGAACATTCCCTAAAGTTGGGCCGCCAACCGAGCATGTGAAAGTACATCACTTGCCCTGGGCCAACAGTTAACAGCCTGAGATCAAGGGGGTACCAATGATCCCACGCGCTTGAGGCCAGGTCCTTAGCGGACCGACCACCGGGGGTTTGACCTCAGAACCTCTCCAAGGTAACATCCATGGGTAGACTACCCACCTGAGAGTTAAAATTGGCAAACCCCCAGTAATCCATAAATCCCAAATTAAATAAAATTAAACAATTTCCCCTTCTTCTAAGTAGGAAACAACACCTGAAAGTTTGAAGCCGATCATAGACGCCTGTCTCCACCTATCATCATAAAATAAAATTTGAGGGAATGGCCTATGTAGCATTGTGCAAATGTCAGCCTACACATGTAAATAGAGCCACTAATATTGCTGAAGATACATTACGCTAATCCGATCGAAAAAGGCGCTCTCTAATAATAATTTAGGAATGTCTTCCCTCGTTAAACTTTAAAAATAAAAAGTTTACTTTTCTCATTTACATTCTATTCTGTACGGCGGCAGCAGCCACCTTGCTGTGCCCCTACCTCACCATTCCTCAGACACTCCTTCGGCAGCCTCTGACGGGTCGTGGCAAGATTATGACGCCCCTGTCAAGACTATGTCTTCACGAATGTTGAAGCAGAAGAGGGAAAGTAATGACGACCTTTCAGACCGATCCTTGACTATTGACTTGTCAGTGAAGCCGAGTTGGACCATCGATTTGTTTGTGTTCTAAGTCATTACTTTCTCCTTTCCTAAATGCGGGTTATTTGTATTTTACATGGGAAACACTGCTTAATAAAATGGGAAATTGAAATTTACTCAGTTCCGAGTGAGTGACAAGCTGTTTTAATAAAGCCCACTAACGGTATAAGTTGAAGCCTATTAGCAAAGTTTTTCTTCAGTAATTGATCTGATTTCAAGTTTCTTACTATTTCAGTAAAATTTTAGATTCATGGGTTCTCACCATTCTTAGAGAATGCATCGTCTATAATATTTCGAAGCCAATCAGAAGAAGCATTCTTTAGTTACTGAATAAAAAATGAATATCACTCTGTATTGAATAAAAATGGCAAATTAGGACACATGGCAGCGTGAATCTTGTGTTCTGGAAATCACATCAGCGGTGAAAATTTGAAGTCGAGCAGTAAGTCATTTTCCAGTTATGGCACGGATGACAGTTAAGTTTAAGTTTAATATGTTTATTATGAACCCCATACCCATCCTGTGGGCGGTAGTCAAAAGATTACAGAGGTACATAATTGGTCCAGGGACTGGACTCCAAAGTTTTGATAGCTGAGCAAGTTACAGAGGTAATGAATTCACAATTTACAAAGGTAATGAACTCACAATTTACAAAGGTAATGAACTCCAGGTAGGTCTAGTCACAATCATGACAAGTTACAAAGGTATTTACAGATTGCAGAGGTATGTAATGGGTCCAGGGACTGGGCCCCAAAGTTTTGATGGCTGAACTAGGTACAAGGTAATGAACTCACAAGTTACAAAGGTAATGAATACTGTAAGAATGGTTACTTACGTTTATACACGGCTACACGGATGACAATGATTCCGTTTTATGTATTATTATTTTACTACATCCACAAATTTAGGTACATGGAAACGAAACTTAATAGGTACTATCCTGGCCCTAAGATGTATTAACCATTAAATGTTGAAGCCATTCAAGAGGTAAATGGAAAAATTATTAAACGGGATAAAAACTTCACACTATTTTGTACATACAGTTGGCAAATCTATTCCCACACATCTGAATTTTACGTCGTCGAATTTCTTAGTACCTTATTCTGAATATTTCGAGCTACGCCACCGAGGGTTTTGGAAGTTATGATAACCATCATAGGAGGATGGGAATGAATCCAACAACTTAGAAAAAAGGGCACGCGAACATAACAATTGTCCCAAGAATTTGGTACTCGTTACTGTAAACAGGTGTTGAATTTTTTAAGCCTATTGGATAAAGTAGAGAAATAAATTCGAAAAGTTGGAGAAAAAAAAATCAGGCATCTTCTTAAGGGTACAACTTTGCGGATACCTAATAATGAATAAAGATAACGTGTTTGTTTCTATGAAATTATCATATTCTTCTTGTATGTGCATTAACATATTTGGTTTTATTCATTCTAAGGTCAAGGTTTGTGACAGCAGAATGCTAAATAGCTTAAGAAGACAGTTTTGTAATACGCTTAATTTTGTTAATATATTCCAGATGATGTTTACAAATGTCACACCCGAAAACAACTACTGAGATTTATAACTGACTTATATTTCTTGTTTATACAGGGCGTGATCAGTCTTAGAGTGACTGGCAATGATGAAGTTGACAGCTGCATCATCCGTCAGGGATCCAACATATTCAGAGGCTGCAAACCATGGACTTCTGTCTTTGAGGTGAATTATCTTTTATTACACACAGTGTAGATTTTTTATACGTGCTTAATTATTTTGTATTGTATTGTCAAGTGAACAGAGGCAGATAGTCCCTGATGAGAATTTGTTGTGAAGATGGTTGTTACTAGAGGACTAAACAGCCCCATTACACTGAAAAGTACTTTTTATATTTCAAAACTATTTAATTTAGTTGTTCTTTTCTGATGCCAAATCTTATTATATTATAAATTGCTAGAAATTGTCTTACATCTGAATGGATAATAACAAATTGTTAAAAATTTTAAGAGTGTGGATTTTAACGATTTTTATTTTACAGTACATGATTTTTTTTAATATTTACTGTCGTAAGTGCCCTGAGCTCCCTCAGTTGATCATCTTAATGCAATTCATACATTTCTAACTTATTTTCTATGCGCACATTTAACGAAGTACATTTACCGATTATTAGGAAATAAAAGTCAAATCATCTCAAAAATGACTAGATATATAGATAGTCTTACGTGTTTAGGTGTCATGAACAATTTATACCACCATTAATATTGGAACAAAATTATCCTGTAGACATTGTCCTGGCTGCTGAGATTATGTAAGACATCCTAAACCCCATTCCTCTTGTGGTATAAATTATTACAAGCAAACTATTATTTATCACTAGGTTAGGTTAGGTAAGGTTCGTCAGGAAACAGGACAAGTGTTTCCTGATGCAGGTTTTGGTTAGATGACGACCGGTTGTTGGAGCTTTTGGTCATCTAACCGAGGCCTCCCGCTGGCTTACCGGTCCACCCCTCGGAAAATTATGGTCATAGTTATAACAGTTTTCTTCTTTTTCTGTTTTCCACTTATTTCTCAGTTAAACATATAATTTTTTTTTGTTTTAGGTTATCTGTTATTCACATGTAAGAGAAAGAGGAATAGTACTTGAAATTGAAGCTGATGATCACATTTACAGGTAATATATTTATTATTTGCTTTGTTATTGCACTCTAAAATTTTGGGTTTCCTTTAAACTGTTCCTTAATTATCATAGAATGATCAATAAACAAGAAGATAAATATACACATACAGCAAAAGGAAACCTTCATTAATATGACGTTTTACCTACATCAGGTGCACACTGTATATAATACATGGCTTCCTAAACCAACCCACCAGTGCAGCTGGAAATGTTGATGTAACAGATTGAACAATATTGTTCCTACCAAGAATGTTGGACCTACATAAATAATAATTTATCTTTCATCCTCGAAGATGAATTGTGTGTTATACTCCTTGTACTCAAACATGACAGTTAATAGCTTTATCAAATGTAAAAATTTAAAATTCACCAGAAATTTGATTTCTTTTGCCAGCAGCAGTGTTGACAGAAACCCCATATGGTACACACACACACACACACACACACACACACACACACACACACAGTCAGTCCTAGGACCAGTGCTGTTTCTGGTATTTGTGAACGACATGACGGAAGGAATAGACTCTGAGGTGTCCCTGTTTGCAGATGACGTGAAGTTGATGAGAAGAATTCACTCGATCGAAGACCAGGCAGAACTACAAAGGGATCTGGACAGGCTGCAGACCTGGTCCAGCAATTGGCTCCTGGAGTTCAATCCCACCAAGTGCAAAGTCATGAAGATTGGGGAAGGGCAAAGAAGGCCGCAGACGGAGTACAGTCTAGGGGGTCAGAGACTACAAACCTCACTCAAGGAAAAAGATCTTGGGGTGAGTATAACACCAGGCACATCTCCTGAAGCGCACATCAACCAAATAACTGCTGCAGCATATGGGCGCCTAGCAAACCTCAGAACAGCATTCCGACATCTTAATAAGGAATCATTCAGGACCCTGTACACCGTGTATGTTAGGCCCATATTGGAGTATGCGGCACCAGTTTGGAACCCACACCTAGCCAAGCACGTGAAGAAACTAGAGAAAGTGCAAAGGTTTGCAACAAGACTAGTCCCAGAGCTAAGAGGTATGTCCTACGAGGAGAGGTTAAGGGAAATCAACCTGACGACACTGGAGGACAGGAGAGATAGGGGGGACATGATAACGACATACAAAATACTGAGAGGAATTGACAAGGTGGACAAAGACAGGATGTTCCAGAGATTGGACACAGTAACAAGGGGACACAGTTGGAAGCTGAAGACACAGATGAATCACAGGGATGTTAGGAAGTATTTCTTCAGCCACAGAGTAGTCAGTAAGTGGAATAGTTTGGGAAGCGATGTAGTGGAGGCAGGATCCATACATAGCTTTAAGCAGAGGTATGATAAAGCTCACGGCTCAGGGAGAGTGACCTAGTAGCGATCAGTGAAGAGGCGGGGCCAGGAGCTCGGACTCGACCCCCGCAACCTCAACTAGGTGAGTACACACACACACACACACACACACACACACACACACACACACACACACACACACACACACACATACACACACACACCACATCTAGGTGGTGGAACACCTAGAAAGGAATGATCTCAACAACAGCAGCCAACATGGTTTCGGGGACGGGAAATCCTGTGTCACAAACCTACTGGAGCTCTATGACATGGTGACAGCAGTAAGACAAGAGAGAGAGAGAGAGGGGTGGGTGGACTGCATTTTCTTGGACTGCAAGAAGGCGTTTGACACAGTTCCACACAAGAGATTAGTGCAAAAACTGGAGGACCAAGCAGGGATAACAGGGAAGGCACTATAATGGATCAGTGAATACTTGTCAGGAAGACAGCAGCGAGTCATGGTCGTGGCGAGGTGTCAGGGTGGGCACCTGTGACTAGCGGGGTCCCACAGGGGTCAGTCCTAGGACCAGTGCTGTTTCTGGTATTTGTGAACGACATGACGGAAGGAATAGACTCCGAGGTGTCCCTGTTTGCAGATGACGTGAAGTTGATGAGAAGAATTCAAAGGATCGAAGACCAGGCAGAACTACAAAGGGATCTGGACAGGCTGCAGACCTCGTCCAGCAATTGGCTCCTGAAGTTCAACCCACCAAGTGCAAAGGCATGAAGATTGGGGAAGGGCAAAGAAGAACTGCAGACGGGGAAAACAGTCTAGGGGGGCCAGAGACTACAAACCTCGCTCAAGGAAAACGATCTTGGGGTGAGTATAACACCAGGCACATCTGAAGTGCACATCAACCAAATAACTGCTGCAGCATTGGGCGCCTAGCAAACCTCAGACAGCATTCCCACATCTTTATAATTAATTGTTCAGGACCCTGTACACCGTGAACGTTAGGCCCATATTGGAGTATGCGGCACCAGTTTGGAACCCACACCTAGCCAAGCACGTAAAGAAACTAGAGAAAGTGCAAAGGTTTGCAACAAGACTAGTTCCAAGCGTAAGAGGTATGTCCTAACGAGGAGAGGTTAAGGGAAATCAACCTGACGACACTGGAGGACAGGAGAGATAGGGGGGACATGATTTAAAGACATACAAAATACTGAGAGGAATTGACAAGGTGACAAAGACAAGATGTTCCAGAGATTGGACACAGTAAAAAAGGGGACACAGTTGGAAGCTGAAGACACAGATGAATCACAGGGATGTTAGGAAGTATTTCTTCAGCCACAGAGTAGTCATAAGTAGAATAGTTTGGGAAGCGATGTAGTGGAGGCAGATCCTTTCATAGCTTTAAGCAGAGGTATGATAAGCTCACGGGTCAGGGAGAGTGACCTAGTAGCGATCAGGAAGAGGCGGGGCCAGGAGCTCGGACTCGACCCCGCAACCTCAATAGGTGAGTACAACTAGGTGAGTACACACACACACAACACACACACACACACACACACACACACACACACACACACACACACACACACACACACACACACACACACACACACACACACACTAGTGTACCTTCCTCAGACCTCTGATACCATACTATTGATTACTTGTTATTATTTCATGTCAGTGCCAATGATAAAATAAAATAATATATAGCTGTTTATTGCATGAAATTAACTTGATAATTAAAATTTTTGACATAAAGCAGTTACAACCAAAGGAGAAATTGTTTTTTTAAGTACGCTTCTACGTACCAAAAAATAAAAATGAATTTATTTAATTTGCATCTTCCCCATGTATTTGAAGTCGGTGATTCTAAAGCTTCTGCGCCCCAAACCAAATTTATCCCAGTCCATGCATCCCCATCTTGTAACATTTTTCATGGCAAAAAAAAAAAAAAAAAAGGGATTGAATTAGCATCCAAAATATATTGAATTAACATTTTATTATAGATTTGTAGAACCAAACAAACACTACTAATAAGAAAAAAAATAAATGTATTCCAATATGTACTAAAAATAAATTTTCCATTTGGATGAGGTTAACGAAATATGTGAATTACTTATCTTAGTTTTTATGTTCACGAGAGTGAAGAGGTCTACCTCACATAAAATTAATATGAAGAGTATAAAATATTACTGCATCCCAGGGAGCATTCATACCTTCCTGTTGAGGCGCCTTTCACCCCCCTGGGGGTTGATGATTCCCCTGTGGGACGCCACTGTCCCAGGGTATGACTGTACAGTGTGTCAGTTTATTATTTCAAGTGACAAGCACATGAATAAAATATATTTACTATAAGACTAGTGAAACAACAAGAGAACAAGTGCAGTGAAAAAGAAAACTTTATTATTGTTCTGTCCAGGAAATATCTCAGACATGTAACTTATTTTTCTTTATATTTTCAGTGATCAACTGGATATCGAAGATATCATAAAAGAGAAGTATTTAGTAAGTTACTGTGCTGCTGGCTTATGTTTATAACATGGTTACCCTGGTCACACCTACGAGTACTTATGACGATGAGAATAACTTAACAATGTCTGTCATCCCCATAGATAGATACCACCGTATTTAGATTTATCACACATTACTGTAGTGTATTCAATTTATTCCTAACTTGCTAAGTTCACATCCTTCCTTAACCTCCTAATTGTGACTTCTCTGAAGACCCTATCCATACATTATATACAATATACATTATATATATATATAATTAAAATATTATATATATATATAAATTTTATATATATATATATATATATATATATATATATATAAAAATATATATTTATATTATATTATATATAGAGTTACTCGTTATAGCATTAACTCATACACTTGCTCTTCTTCATTTAATAAAATCCTGATAAATTAGACACATGTGCAACTCTTGGGTATCTTATTGAGGAAACGTTTCGCCACACAGTGGCTTCATCAGTCCATACGTAGGAGAAACTTGACGAACAGAGGAGAATGAGGTAATCAGTCCCTCAACCTTGAGTCAATGTGTTCAGTCCATCAATCTTGAATAGACTGATGACTGAACACATCAACTGAATAGATTGATGGACTGAACACATCGACTCAAGGTTGAGGGACTGATTACCTCATTCTCCTCCTGTTCTTCAAGTTTCTCCTACGTATGGACTAATGAAGCCACTGTGTGGCGAAACGTTTCCTCAATAAAGATACCCAAGAGTTGCACATGTGTCTAATTTATCAACATGTCGGTTCTCTGAATCATTCATCTACAAATAAAATCCTTCCCTGGGTTTACCAATGTTTCACTTCCTTTAGCAGATACAAGTTCAACACTTTCCATAGTCTCGGGTCCTGGTTCATTTAATGTGGTAGCTGCGCTGCCGACCACACAGCAGCACAAACAACCTTAAGTCCCTTAAGACATTCAAGGGAATATTGTGCTAGGAAACTTCCATACATTCTTTTCCTTTGTTCACCTGTAGATATTTACAGGTTTACATGTTTACTGTACATATTACTTGCACAGAGTTTTGAAATAACGAAGAAAATGCAGTAAGGGTCTTGTTATCTGGCCACCAAGGAACCTGCAGCAGATTAGTTAATAAAACTGTACTAGCTTACTTGGTTGGAATACTTTATTATATACAATACACTGCTGTACTGCACTATTCAATGCAGTGATGTAGTAATGCACAATATTTCTTTTTCAAAATACTGTACAGTATTCTGTAGTCAGTTGTGTTGATTATTATTACCCAAAGAAATTACAAAATGTAATTTAAATGTATGTATTCATTCATCTTATCTAAATTTAGCCTAGCCTAACTGAATGTTTACAAACTTTTTAACATTAACTTGCTAGGTGCTTCATGTTCACTCACATAGTAAATTCTGAGGAAGAATTTAAAACGTTATCTTTAGTCTTTAATGCACAACACTAGTAATAGTTTTCTTAATACAGTTATATATGTATAATATAATTGTACTCTAGAGATGCCTTAATATGTAGTTTTAATTCCAGTTTTCTGCACAGTAATAAAACATAAATGGTTCCTCTTGCTCTGATTGTTTATGCTTCAGCATGTTCTGAAGTCCAGGACTTTTCAAACTCTCACAGGCATTTGCGCTCTCTGTTTACAGTACTAACACGGCTTTTGAGCCATAGTTGGCAACATTGTTGGTCTTCATTAGTGACCAAAAAATTACTGTTGCATCGAACCACATTTAGAGTTTTGGCCGCCTCCTCTTTTCATCACTGCTTGTTGTGGGAAATTACACTGGCATACCAGTGCACCAGACGAACTAGACTCTCATGGTTATGTTATGAACAGACAACTGGTTTCATTTTCCAAGAATTGTTAGTCATACTGTCAGTCCAGCATCTCTTGATTGTCTCGTTCAGTTACTTCCTTCAATGCCTGAAATGGCTGCTTTATCTCTCTTCCTTTCTAATAGTTCCTTAACTCCAGACAATTTATGACTTGCTCCGTCAACTCTGGCGCTCCATTGCCCTCCTTTCTACCAATGTCCTCTCATCAATCTCTTGCGTAATTCTGAATGATTGTTATTCATTTAGATTTTTCCTGGTGAAAGGCTCGTATTGTTGCTTTAATGTGCCAGTCTGTGGGGATAGAAGGATTTCCTTGGTTGAATGCAAGCCTTCAAGCTTATTGATGGGGTACACCAAAAACTGGTCTTTGAGGCCTGTTGACCCAAGCATTATCGGGAGAATATGGTTGAGTAGTACTGATGAGAATGAAGGTTTTCATATGCTTTCCCACTTTATTTTCCGTCTGTTGTGTAGTCCTTGTATCCTTATTGCTTCCTCAGCATCCCTGGTCCACTGCCTTGCAGTCTTACTCTCGAGATGTGCTTCTTCTGTGCCATAATGCCACACTAGCAGAAAGCACGTGTACGGACCTTGCTTAGGCGTTGAGAGGTGAGAATGGTATAGATATTATAGATGTCAATGGTCCAAGTCGGACCGAAACGTCGTCGTAAGCTTCTCTCTTTTATGTGCGGGTTATTTGTGTATCGTTCCAGTCACGGTATTGTGCCTTTTTTTTGTTATTTATGTAACTGAGGCATGGCCTATTCAAGATTCCTACCTTGAATATGCCTGTAATACAGATATACATTTTTCATTAGGACCAAATACAAGCATATACAAGAAGAGTTTCTCTTCATATCTCCTAGGCCCCTTCCCCTTCCAGAAAGGTTTCCACCCTTAAGCCCCCACTATAGAAATGCTGGCGCCGCCCCTGACTGGAGATTACTCTTTTGCAGACGAAACACTATCGTGTGGCAGACAATCTACATTCGTTTTTTTCCACTGAAGCTACATGGTTTGAACTCACAAATGATGCTGTAATGTTGACAGAGGTTTGTATCTAAGGAAAATTCCCATCTACCGTATACTGAATTTTACATTTTATATTAATGATACAGTATGTTGCGGAAATAAAAGGTTGTTTCTTGAAAATTTAAGAAGTATGTGGAATACACGTGTCTGTGGCAGGAATTGCCCTTGGCGTATTATTGCCCTTGGCTTATTAAATGTGTCATGCATATGTGGAAGAGAAATAATACAGTGGTACATCTGTAATTAATGCATGCCTATTATCAGTGCAATGATGTTATTTTAGGCCAAATTTGGTTGTGAGTTGTCCCTCCTTATGCTCCAACCACTATACACCTGAACATGAGAGGGCTGTACACTTATTTATTTTTGGCTGTATATTTCTTTCAGTACTTTTATTTTTATTATTGTAAGTTGAGCTAAATATGACTTTATAGAATCGTACCTAAATTTATATGATTTGTTATTGAAATGTTCAGCAGTGGCAGGAAGGTGAAGACCAAGCCAGGAGAACACAGAGCTGTGCAGTACTCAAGGTGTGGCTTGATTACGCTGAGATATTCGTTGTAAGTTCCAACTTGGAAATTTTCTTTGTTAATATTTGTCACCATGGCTTTTAATCCTGATTTTTTTCTTTAAGGCTATAATTATGCCTTATTGGGTAATTTAAGAAGATGAGTGAGTTTATCGAGCGAAGAATATGTTTGGGTGAGGAAGGTGATATAGATCTGATCACGGTAATGTTGTATTATTATAATATTATAATATTAAATAATAATTATAGATGTGTACTCACCTAGTCGATTCAAAGCTCCTGGCTCTGCCTCTTCAGTGGTCGCTACTAGATCACTCTCCCTTTCTGGCTAGATTGTTCTCTCCAACGGATTTTATACATTTACAGTGCTATGAGCTCTAATTTTTTTAATGCTACCGCAAAATACCAACTTTTTTTGTTGATATCAGTACCATAACAATTAGCCGATACCGATACTCTGACACACTCCTAATATTTGTTATTTCTATAGCTTTGCATATTTCTTATTGTTATCATATTTTCTGATTCACCATGTATCATGCTATGTGCCCTTTGCTGCTTTATCTCTTGATATTTTACCGTATTTGCGTCTTTTTAATCTCTATGTTAATGCTATTACTGATGGTCCCTTTATCTTAGCTAAAAACAGAGTGAATAAGACAATGTTCTCTATACTACACAGTATATGTTCAGATTAATGCATAATTATTGTATTTGTATGAGTGAAGTGTCTCTGTAAAAATAGAGTAATCTGCAATATGTAGGAGACATTAATGAAGCTGATAAAATATATGATTGTTCAGGTTCTCTGTTTGACTGAGGTGGATTTTAACATTCCGAAAATTACTACGATTTGCAGTTTGACCAAAAGTTGGATATTCGGCTTAAAGTTGGCGGAAAGTCAAAACAAATGAGCAGTTCACTTGTGTATTCCAATGGCCAAGAAGGAATACGAATTGAATTTGAAGAGGGCATCGATTTCCTTATTGCAGATCCTCAAAAACAAAAGTTAAAAATCCAGGTAAGTACTTTCTTGAATTACAGATACTATAACTTTTGTTAATCAGGGTTATTTTGTTATATTATTGAGAAGATTAGGTTAGGTAGGTTTGTTCGGAAACAGGACAAGTGTTTCCTAGCGCAGGTCTTGGTCAAATGATGACCTGCAGCTGGAGCGTTTTGTTCATCTGACCGGGGTCTTTCGCTGGCTTATCGGTTCATCCTTTAAAAATTAAAGTTATGATTATATCCATTTTTGAATCTTTGGTTTTTGAAAGGATATCTAAGTAAAGTCTGAATAGAAGTATTGTATTACGGTCTTTGAATACACATCCTCTGGTATAATAAACATGGTATTAAAAGGACACAAATGCAACTAATGCGACATTTTATTGTGGCAACGTTATATGGAACAGTTGGAAGCTGAACGCTTCACTATCATCCCCACCAGCGTCACTTGGTACGTTGTTATGTGGACGACGTCCTCATAATAACTCCCAAACGTGTTGATATAAGAACATAAGAAAGAAGAAACACTGCAACAAGCCTACTGACCTATGAGGAGCAGGTCCATGTCCCCCATCCCCGGATAAGCCCAATGACCCACCCAGTCTGGTCACCTCCACTCAAGGAAGGAGCACGGCACCAGACCCAGCAGCACAAGCTAGTCAGGTCCAACTCACACCCACCCACACCCACTCATGTATTTATTTAACCTATTTTTAAAACTACACAACGTTTTAGCCTCAATAACTGTACTCGGTAGTTTGTTCCACTCATCTACAACTCTATTACCAAACCAGTGCTTTCCTATATCCTTCCTGAATCTGAATTTTTCTAACTTGAAACCACTGCTGCGAGTCCTGTCTTGGCTGGAAATTTTCAGCACGCTATTTACATCCCCTTTATTTATTCCTGTTTTCCATTTATACACCTCGATCATATCCCCCCTAATTCTACGCCTTTCGAGAGAGTGCAGATTCAAGGCCTCAGTCTATCCTCATAAGGAAGATTTCTGATACATGGGATCATCTTTGTCATCCTCCTCTGTACGTTTTCCAGAGCATTTATATCCATTCTGTAATACGGTGACCAGAACTGAGCATAGTCTAAATGAGGCCTAACCAAGGATATAAAGAGTTGAAGAACAACCTGAGGACTTCTATTATTTATACTTCTAGATATGAAGCCAAGAATTCAGATATGCGGAATCTTCAGGCAAGACTCAACGCAGATGAACCGGCTCTCCAGTTTACATTTGAAGAAGAGTCCAGTAACAAGCTACCTTTTCTAGACGTCTTCATTCACAATGTAATAATAATATCTTTATTTACTATAAGTACATGTACAAGGTATACAGTCCTAGCTGACATCAGTAACATATTACTGTACAGAAAGCCGCTTGTTATGCAGAGCATTTCGGGCAAATTAGGTCAGTTTTGTCCCAGGATGCGACTCATACCAGTCGACTAACACCCAGGTACCCCTTTTACTGATGGGTGAACAAAGACAACCGGTGTAAGGAAACATCCAATGTTTTCATCCCTAATAAGGGTTCAAGTTTACCGGAAACCTACAAACAAAAATGATCTCACACACTTCTATTCCAGCCAAGATTCTAAGATCAAAAGAGGCATCATCATCGGATTTTTCCTAAGAGCATACCGAATTTGTAGTCCTGAGTTTCTTAACGAAGAGTGTATATATATATACCAAACCCTCACTGATCTACATTTTCTTTTCTTTTTCATTAAAGACTGCAAGAAAAGACTTTCCTTCAGATCATTAATTTTCCACGCACCAACATCACTCATAACAAAATTATAATCCTTCCCAGCAGCCAGGTTTCATTGAACATTTCTAAAGTACTCTCGCAAGCTAACACTGGAGTCACCATCGCAACCAGCACTCCCATAAAAGATGTAACTAGGGCAAAATTGAAGGACCATAAACTAGTTATTGCAGGAGTTTACACTATACCCTGTGGAGTCTGCGACAGAATGTACGTAGGTGAAACACCAAGAAGCATTGAAACACGTCTCAATGAAAACATTAAATCCCACATGTAGGAACGATAACTTAAACAACGCCTGCGTACAACAACGGAATTCCGCCAGTCACCTCATGAAATCAATGACGCCCGATTAGTGATTAAAGAACCTAATTTCCGTAGACGTAAATGCCTTGAATCATGATTAACCACTATTTCTAACACAAGAAAAATGAAGGCAGCTTCATCGTCTCTGAAGTATTAGCAAGAATCCTCCTTAAAACAATAAACCTGCCATCACACAGTTGTTGCCGCTGATACTACATAAGAACACAAGAGAGGAGTAACACTACAACAGGCCTTCTCAAATTCAACATACTAACAAAAATATTTGCCCAACCCATTTTTATGCTACCCAAGCAGTAAGCTCTAATAACCACTTGTATTATTACTACTACTACAACCATTAATATTACAACTACTACTGCTACTTTTACAACGATTATATTGCGCCTTACACCTCACTCTACAGCCTATATATACCCCCTGTGTCCATGTATTGTTGTATAGGCTTGACTAAGCTCCTGGAAAGCGAAACGTTTTCACAATAAAATGTCGCATTAGTTGCACTTTTGTCCTTTTACTTAACATTGTCAATACCTTGACAATATCATATTTTGTACAATCTTGTTTTACTATATTATAATCATATTATCTGCATGCTCCTGGAGCATCACTTCCAGGGTGGTGCTGCATGCTCCTGGAGCATCACTTCCAGGGTGGTGCTGCATGCTCCTGGAGCATCACTTCCAGGGTGGTGCTGCATGCTCCTGGAGCATCACTTCCAGGGTGGTGCTGCATGCTCCTGGAGATCACTTCCAGGGTGGTGCTGCATGCTCCTGGAGCATCACTTCCAGGGTGGTGCTGCATGCTCCTGGAGCATCACTTCCAGGGTGGTGCTGCATGCTCCTGGAGCATCACTTCCAGGGTGGTGCTGCATGCTCCTGGAGCATACTTCCAGGGTGGTGCACATGCTCCTGGAGCATCACTTCCAGGGTGGTGCTGCATGCTCTGGCACACTTCAGGGTGCTGCAGCTCCTGGAGCATCACTTCCAGGGGTGCTGCATGCTCCTGGAGCATCACTTCCAGGGTGGTGCTGCATGCTCCTGGAGCATCACTTCCAGGGTGGTGCTGCATGCTCCTGGAGCATCACTTCCAGGGTGGTGCTGCATGCTCCTGGAACATCACTTCCAGGGTGGTGCTGCATGCTCCTGGAGCATAACTTCCAGGGTGGTGCTACATGCTCCTGGAGCATCACTTCCAGGGTGGTGCTGCATGCTCCTGGAGCATAACTTCCAAGGTGGTGCTGCATGCTCCTGGAGCATCACTTCCAGGGTGGTGCTGCATGCTCCTGGAGCATAACTTCCAGGGTGGTGCTACATGCTCCTGGAGCATCACTCCCAGGGTGGTGCTGCATGCTCCTGGAGCATAACTTCCAGGGTGGTGCTACATGCTCCTGGAGCATCACTTCCAGGGTGGTGCTGCATGCTCCTGGAGCATAACTTCCAAGGTGGTGCTGCATGCTCCTGGAGCATCACGTCCAGGGTGGTGCTGCATGATCCTGGAGCATCACTTCCAGGGTGGTGCTGCATGCTCCTGGAGCATCACTTCAAGGGTGGTGCTGCATGCTCCTGGAGCATCACTTCCAGGGTGGTGCTGCATGCTCCTGGAGCATAACTTCCAGGGTGGTGCTACATGCTCCTGGAGCATCACTTCCAGGGTGGTGCTGCATGCTCCTGGAGCATAACTTCCAGGGTGGTGCTGACATGCTCCTGGAGCATCACTTCCAGGGTGGTGCTGCATGCTCCTGGAGCATCACTTCCAGGTGGTGTGCATGCTCCTGGAGCATCACTTCCAGGGTGGTGCTGCATGCTCCTGGAGCATAACTTCCAGGTGGTGCTGCATGCTCCTGGAGCATCACTTCCAGGGTGGTGCTGCATGCTCCTGGAGCATCACTTCCAGGGTGGTGCTGCATGCTCCTGGAGCATCACTTCCCAGGGTGGTGCTGCATGCTCCTGGAGCATCACTTCCAGGGTGGTGCTGCATGCTCCTGGAGCATACTTCCAGGGTGGTGCTGCATGCTCCTGGAGCATCACTTCCAGGGTGGTGCTGCATGCTCCTGGAGCATCACTTCCAGGTGGTGCTGCTGCTCCTGGAGCATCACTTCCAGGGTGGTGCTGCATGCTCCTGGAGCATCAACTTCCAGGGTGGTGCTCATGCTCCTGGAGCATCACTTCCAGGGTGGTGCTGCATGCTCCTGGAGCATCACTTCCAGGGTGGTGCTGCATGCTCCTGAGCATCACTTCCAGGGTGGTGCTGCATGCTCCTGGAGCATCACTCTCCAGGTGGTGCTGCATGCTCCTGGAGCATCACTTCCAGGGTGGTGCTGCATGCTCCTGGAGCATCACTTCCAGGGTGGTGCTGCATGCTCCTGGAGCATCACTTCCAGGGTGGTGCTGCATGCTCCTGGAGCATCACTTCAGGGTGGTGCTGCATGCTCCTGGAGCATCACTTCCAGGTGGCTGCATGCTCATGAAGAAAGATCTTCCAGTTTTTTGTGCACGCTGTCGTCAGTGACAGTCTCTTACTCTCCAAGTTTGGTTTTCGAAAGTGCTGTGAAAACACATTGTTGCGCAAGCCACTGGACACAACTTCAGTACTCTCAGTCGTTGCGCTGCTTCCAGAGGTGATTAGCCAATGAGCATCTCTGACGAATCATTCAGGGTGTGCGCATGCTCCTACATCACTTCCAGGTGGTGACCATGCACTAGCATCACTTCCATTTTTTGTGACTATACTTGATGTTACAGTTAATAGTACTTGTTTTCAGATTCTTGGCATATAATTCAGGAACTGTAGGAAAAGTGAACGTTCCTACTAATACTCTCCATAATTGTTTTGGCAAACTGAGAGAAAACATTTGTATTAACACATTAAACCAAGTCAAAGATAATCCTCATACAAAGTTACCGTAGAGTTTATCTAAAGTACCGGGTCAACTGACCAGTCGGCTGCGGTCTAAGTGATCAGCTTCATTAGTGTCTGCAGTCCCTAGATGGACTACAAATGTAGATTACTAAATAAGTACCAAATTTTTACCATGTGGGAACAATAGACATACGGTGAATAGAAAATCCATAGTGTTAACCTGTCGGAATGAACCAGGCTAACCAGTGAAAGCGAGAGCCTTAACTGAACATGACAGAGTAAGTTGTGGTATTAAGATTATAAGATTTAAGACAAAGATGAAATAATCTATAACAAGAAATGTTTTTGCCGTGACATATCTTTACATTACTAATTAATGGATAAAGGAATGCATGGCAACATCATTATATTTTTTTGTGCAATATTATGTGATGTTATGTAATGAGTTTTGTTATACAGATCTTGGCAATAAAATTCAGGAAACTGAGTAAAGAGTTGAGTTTCCTACTGAATGAGCCTCACATGAAGTCAGCTCAGCTTATTGAGTTCAATACTGGAGAAAACATCTTCGTCCACTTAACTCTTTATGTAAGTATCCATAAGTGTCAAAGATCCACAATCGTAGGCAAGTGGGACAAAAGTTACCGTAAGTAGATATTTATCTTATAGTACTGTTACTGACCAGTTGGCTTTTGCAGGGGCTTCAAATTTTGTCTGATTAGCTTTATAGAGTGAATTTTTAACTGCAGCACTCTCCTAAGATTGTACTACAAATTGTAGATTACTAGGAATATAGATTATTCCATAAATTTATTACCATAAGTTTTGAACCAAGTGAGACAGTACTTGTGGTGGGGGACCTAAATTCTATAGTAGGTATAACTGTTACGGAGGGAGTAGTAGGTAAGTTTGGGGCGCCAGAGAAAAATGAAAATGAGGAGCCTCTAACTGAACTATATATAGAAAGGTTTGGTAATAAGTAATACATATTTTAAGAAAAAGGGGATGAATAAGTATACAAGATATGATATAGCACGTAATGAAAGTAGTTTGTTAGATTATGTATTGGTGGATAAAAGATTGATGTGTAAGTTTCGGGATGTACATGTTTATAGGAGGGCAACAAATATATCGGATTATTATTTAGTTGTAGTTAGTTAGAGTAAAATGTAGATGGAGCAAAAGGAAAACGGCAACAGCAAGTAAAAAGAGAGGTGAAAGTTTATAAACTAAGGGAGGAGGAAGTTAATGTGAGATATAAGCAACTATTGGGAGTAAGATGGGCGAGTGCAAGTATGGGAAGTTGGGGGGAACGGTTGAAGAGGAGTAGAATAGTTTTAAAATGGCAGTGTTAGAATGCGGAGCAGAAATTTGTGGCTATAGGAGGGTGGATGCAGGAGGAAAGGTGAGGAAATGATGAGGTAAAGGGTGTGATAAAAGAAAGGTTACTTATGAGAGATTTTTACAAGCAAAAGTGATATAAGAAGGCTGGAGTATCTGGAGATTAAAAGAGGGGTGAAGAGAGTGGTTAGGGAGTGCAAAAGGAGAGCAAGTGATAGAGTGAGTGAGGCGTTGTCAACAAATTTTGCTGAGAATAAGAAAAATTTTGGGGCGAGATAAATAGGTTAAGAAAGCTTAGGGAACGAATGGATTTGATAGTTAAAAACAGAATAGGGGAGTTAGTAGATGGGGAGTTGGAGGTTTTGGGAAGATGGTGGGAATATTGAGGAACTGTTAAATGTTGATGAAGAGAGGTTTAGTTTAATATGTTTATTATGCATCCCATACCCATCCTGTGGGCGGTAGTCAAAAGATTACAGAGGTACATAATGGGTCCAGGGACTGAGGGAAGTAGCAATTTCATGCATTGGTCAGGGAGGTATTACATCTTTTAGGATTGAAGAAGAGCCGGATGTGAGTGTGAGGGAGATGCGGAGGGATATAATGCAGCTGGAACTGATGGGATTATGACAGAAATGTTAGAAGTAGGGAGGGGGAATGTAGTTTTGGAGTGGTTGGTACTTTTGTTCAATAAATGTATGAAAGAGAGGAAGATACCTAGGGATTGGCAGAGAGCGTGTATAATTACTTTATATAAAGGGAAGAGGGACAAAAGACATTGAAAAAAATTATAGGGGAATAAGTTTACTGAGTATACCAGGTAATGTAAGGTAGGGTTATTATTGAAAGAATTAGAGATAAGATGGAGAGCAGGATTGCAGATGAACAAGGAGACTTTAGGAAGGGTAGGGGATATGTGGATCAAGTGTTTACATTGAAGCATATATGTGAACAATATTTAGGTAAAGGTAGGGGTGTTTTCATTTCATTTATGGATTTACAAAAGGCATATTGACAGGGTGGATATGGGAGCAATGTGGCAGATGTTGCAAGTGTATGGAATAGGTAATAAGTTATTAAATGCTCTAAAGTGTTTTTATGAGAACAGTGAGGCTCAGGTAAGGTTGTGTAGGAGAGGAGATTACGTTCCAGTAAAGTAGGCCTTAGACAGGGATGTGTAATGTCACCATGGTTGTTTAACATTTATAGATGGAGCTGCCAAAGAAGTAATGCTAGGGTGTTGGAGAGAGGGGCTGTATTAAATTATGGGGAATCATATACAAAATGGGAGTTGACATAGTTACTTTTTGCTGATAATACTGTGCTTTTGGGAGATTCTAAAGAAAAGTTGCAAAGGTTAGTGGACGAGTTTGGGAGGGTGTGAAAAGAAAGTTGAAAGTGAATATAGATAAGAGTAAGGTGATGAGGGTAGAAAACGAATTAGGTAAAGAAAAATTGGATATCACATTGGAGGGAGAGAGTATGGAACAATTGAATATGTTCATATATTTGAGAGTAGATTTGTCAACAGATGGGTTTATAAAGGACGAGGTTAACCATAAAACTGATGAAGAAAACAAGGTGAGTGGTACATTGAGGTATCTGTGGAGACAAGAAAAAAAAAAGCTCTTGTTTCACAGGATGAGGGTCTGGGTTTGATTCCCGGTAAAGAATGCAAACACTGGGTGTGTTCCCTTACACCCATCAGTAAAATGGGTACCTGGGTGTTAGTCGAGTGGTGTGGGTCGCATCCTGGGACAAAAGTGACCTAATTTGCTCGAAATGCTCTGCATCCAGGAACTCTCTCTCCAGGTAATAAGAAGCGGCTTTCTATGTATTAGTATATCATTGATGTCAGCTAGGCCTATATACCTTGCACATACACTTGTATAAATAAAGATATTATTATTATCTCTGGAGGCAAAGAAGGGACTGTAAGAGAATATAGTGGTACCAACAATCTTATATGGGTGTGAAACATGGTTTGTGAATGTTGCAGCGAGAAAGAGGCTGCAGGCAGTGGAGATGTCGTGTCTAAGGGCAATGTGTGGTGAAAATATTATGCAGAGAATTCGTAGTGTGGAAATTAGGTATGGAGTTACTAAAACTATTATTCAGGGGGATGAAGAGGGGTTATTGAGGTGGTTTGGTCATTTAGAGAGGGTGGAGCAAAATAGGTTGACTTGGAGGGTGCATAAATCTGTAATAGAGGGGAGGAGGGGTAGGGGTCGTCCTTGGAAAGGTTGGAGGGAGGGGTAAAAGAGGTTTTGTGTGCAAGGGGCCTGGACATGCAGCAGGCACGTGTAAGCATGTTAGATAGGAGTGAGTGGAGATAAATGTTTTTTTCGGACCTGACGAGCTGTTGGAGTGTGAACAATATTTTATGAAGGGATTCAGGGAAACCGGTTAGCAGGACTTGAGTCCTGGAGGTGAGAAGTACAATACCTGCGCTTTAAAGGAGGGGTTTGGGAGATTAGTTGTTTGGAGTGACATCTAATGTTTCTTTTTTGGGTCATCCCAGGTTATAACCTATTCAAATGCGACAGATTAAACAGGCAACAAGGAGGGGGGGGGAGTTGGCTCATTTGCTCAGAACTACTAAGAACTACTAAGTTTTGGCGGCAAAGATTGAAAACTAAACACTCGTCATTGTGGTTGTATACAAGCCTCCGGATGCAACTTCCCAGCAATTCCAGGACACGCTTTTGAAAACTGACCACTGTCTGGAAAATCTCCTAACTCCTGCCCCAAACTTCTTACTACTGGGAGATTTCAACTTGAGACACCTAAAATGGAGGAGTGTAGCAAATAATATTTTAGCATAGATTACCCCAGGAGGCAGCTCAGATGAAAATTCACACACACACAAGTTATTAAATCTCTGCACCAAATTCACCTTAAACCAGCAAATATTAGAGCCTACAAGACTAGAAAATACGCTGGACCTTATCTTCACTAACAACGGCTATGTGATACATAATATAACCGTATCAATGACAATACACTCAGATCACAACATAATAGAGGTACAGACATGTATGCACAGGGCTCCTGACCAGAAAATGTGATCAGTCATGAGGGTGTCTTCACAAAATTCAACTTCAATAACAAAAACATACATTGGGAACAAGTCAACCATGTCCTAAATGAAACAAGAGGGGAAGATATCCTAAACAACACGGATCCGAACCTCTGTGGTTCTTGAGAGCTGCTCAAGGAACATTCCATTAAGAAAAAGAAAGAGAAGATGTAACTAGAAAGAGAGAGATGCTCCCTAAACAGACGAAGGTGAAGAATCACAGAGTTCCTGAGAGGGGCCAATATATATGAAATACGAAGGGAGGCACTGGTCAATGAAATAGACCTTAGGCTGAATGAATTTTATAGGAGACAAGAATCGCAGGAAGAACTAGAAGCCATAAAGGAAATTGAAAAAAAAAATACTTCTTCTCTTATGCCCAATCTAAGGGAAAAACAATATCCAGTAATGGGCCCCTGCTTAGGCGAGATGGGACATACACAGATGACAGCCAAGAAATGAGTGAGAAACTAAAGTCCCAATACGACTCAGTGTTCAGTGAGCCGTTACCCAGTCTAAGGGTCGACAATCCTAATGAATTCTTTATGAACGAGACCCAAAATTTGGTCATCTCAAAAATCTCTGATATTATTCCAACACCACAAGACTTTGAAAAGGCAATAAATGACATGTCTATGCACTTTACCCAGGCCCAGACTCATGGAACTCCGTGTTCATCAAGAACTGCAAGGATCCCCTGTCACGGGTCATCCCACAACACTCACTAAAACAACAGACATAGCCCCACTCTGCAAAGGTGGAAGTAAAGCAATTGCAAAGAACTACAAACCGATAGCACTAACATCCCATATAAAAATCTTTGAGAGGGTTCTAAGAAGCAAGATCACCAGCCACCTTGATACCCATCAGTTACACAACCCAGGGCAACATGGGTTCAGAGCAGGTCGCTCCTGCCTGTCCCAGCTACTGGACTACTATGACTAAGGTTCTGGATTCTATATAGGATAAACAAAATGCAGATATAGTATACACAGTCTTTGCAAAACCTTTCGACCAGTGTGACCACGGTATAATAACGCACAAAATGCGTGATAAAGGAATAAGAGGAAAAGTTGGTAGATGGATCTGTAACTTCCTGACAAACAGAACACAAAGAGTAATAGTAAACAGAGTAAAGTCCGAGACAGCTACGGTGAAAAGCTCTGTTCCACCAGGCACAGTACTCGCTCCCCTCCTATTCCTATTCCTCATATCTAACATAGATAAATATATAAGCCATAGCTCCATGTCTTCTTTTGCGTATGACACCTAAATTGCCATGACAGTGTCCTTCATCGAAGACACCGCAAGACTCCAAGCGGACATCAACCAAATCTTCAAATGGGCCACTAAAAACAATATGAAGTTCAGTGAAGAGAAATTTCAACTACTCAGATATGGAAGACTTGAGGAAATTAAATTGTATCAGGATACACAACAAATTCTAACCATACAATAGAGCGAAAAAGTAATGTGAAGGACCTGGGAGTGATAATGTCAGAGGATATCGCCTTCAAAGATGGATAATGAGAACCTTCAAAACTAGGATGCCAAGCCCATGATGATTCTTCTCTTCAAATTGCTTGTTCTCTCTAGGCTGGAATACTGCTGTACACTAACTGCCCCCTTCAAGGCTGGCGACATTGCTAACCTGGAGAGTGTACAGAGAACTTTCACGGCACACATAAGTACGATAAGGCACTTAAATTACTGGGAGCGGTTGAAGTCCCTTGATTTGTATTCCCTGGAGTGCAGGCGAGAAAGATACATGATAATATACACTTGGAAAATCCTAGAGGGATTAGTACCAAACTTGCACACGAAAATCACTCCCTGTGAGAGCAAACGACTCGGCAGGAGATGCAACATTCCCCCAGTGAAAAGAAGGGGTGCCACGAGTACACTGAGAGACAACTCATTAAGTGTCAGGGGCATACATAAGGGGGATTACCAATATACCCCTGGCCGTCTTCAAGAATGCACTGGACAGGCACCTATAGTCAGTACCTGACCAGCCAGTCTCAGACCGAATCGAGGGGACATTGACTCCCGAAGCCCTCTCCAGGTATACTCCAGGTATACCCTGCCGCGGTGAAAGACGGCCGACGTGTTAAAAAATTCTTTTATTCTGTCCTGCAATATAATTTGGTGAGCAGCAGTGTATTTTGTATCAAATGGCAGATTTATTCACCTTCATTGTATCTTTCAGATTTTGAAACCTGTGAGAAAATATGCTGATAATGGAAGTTATGATGAGCACGGTGATAATTTAAGCGCCAACTCTGAATCAAAGGAGTCACTCACTTCAGAGTCAGCCTCTCAATCCAAAACTATAGCATCAGTATATACCGACTTAGAGTATCCAGTATCATGTGCTGGGGACAGTGGAAGTCCCAACTCTGAAACTAATCCTTTTACTATGACATCAGAAAACACTTGTGATAATTCAGGTAAGAGGCACATTATAATGATTACCTGAATCAGGTATTCCATCTTGATGTGTCTTAGTTTATGCATTCATATTTGACTTTCCTTATTTGAGTGTTTGCCTTGTTTAATTATCGGCAATGGCTCTGAGTATAGTGTTTATTTCAGTTGGTCTGCTTAGTATTGGTTGCCAAACCAGTAACTGGTTAGTTAACAATGTGCACACAAGCCATGCTCTTGATAAGCAAGGGTTTCCTTCTAACAGAACCCCACTCTATATCAACTTTGGCTGCCTACAGTTTAAAGGTTTAAAACTGTTAAACTAAGGCACTTGCTGGAAAACTGTAACATAACACACAGTTATCACATTCGCAACAAATACCTCTGATATTCCTTGGGTTTCTGTGAACCCTCTCAATCCTAGTTTAAGTTGGCCCGAAATGCTGTCTATGCTATGCCTATTAAGTCATTATGACAGTGCTGTATTTTTATATAACGTCTCGACATAAAATTATTTTATTTTATTATTATTATTGTTATTATTTGGCCCAAAAGGTCATATACTAGGGAAATAAAAATCACTGCCTAAAATTAAATGTTTGAAAATTTTAAATTAAGATAAATGACACTAATTGTT